TCGTCCTCATTCCACCACGGTGGACCGAGAACCACTCTCGGCACGAAAGCTCAAGCGCCTCCTCAAAAGCAACAGCGAACGTATCGGCGCGATCACCTGCCAGGATATCTCTGATCAAGAGAACCTGAGGTGTATCCATAGCATCTCCTCGGACGATCAAGCAAAGGATAGGCAGGACCCGGCACCTACCTCCAGCAGCTCAGTCCCTCTCAATACAACCGCAGATTCCAACGACTTGGACAACATCACCCTCAAGTATCTCCCTGACAACATTAAAGCCATGGTCAAAGAGTGCCCAAGCGTCTTCGCGCAATATCTCGGGATCCTCCCTTCCAGGCCATACCACCATATAATGGAGCTGGAAGACTCAAATGCAAAACCACCCTATCGACCCATCTACCCCCTCTCGGAAGTACAACTCAAGGTCATTAAAGGAGAACTCGAATTCCTCATCGCCAACGGTCGCATCCAACCCTCAAGCTCCGCTTACGGTGCCCCCATATTCTACATAGTGCAAGGCCACAAGATGCGCCTCGTTTTCGACTATCGAGCCCTGAACAACAACACCGTCAAGAATCGAACAGCGCTCCGAAACATCACGGAAATCCTTGACCGACTTTGGAACGCCAAGTTCTTGAGCAAACTCGACCTCGCTTCAGATCACCAAATTCGCATTCGCGCAGTAGACACGCATAAGACCGCCTTCCGAACCAAGTATGGCCATTTCGAATGGACTGTCATGCCCTTCGGCCTCGCCAACGCTCCGGCCACCTTTCAGTCAATGGTCAATCACATCTTCCACGATATACATAGATGACTTTATTATCGAGCCATCGGTAGCTACGTCGCCCAACCAGACAAAGACGGAACCGACCGCCCTATCGCCTTTGCATCCCGCAAATGCAACAAGTACGAACGAAACAATCACCCCTATATGGGAGAAGTACTCGCCCTCTCCGAAGCCCTTCGGACCCATCGCCACTACCTTGTCGGTCGCCCTGTCAAAGTCACAGCTCCCTTCAGCACATCATGAATCAGCCAAAGCTTCGTCCCGCCCAGTATAGATGGCTAGAAGACCTCCTCGCTTACGACCTCGAGATCCAATGGACGCCAGGAGAATGGAACAAAGTCGCCGACGCCCTCTCGAGAAGAACTCACACACAAGACGCGGCGACCATGACCACTCTCCAACTCAACGCCATCATTTCCATTACCAGCGACCTTCGAGATGCCATCAAGAATGACCTTCCCAAGGACCCCGATTTCAAGACCATCGCCTCTTACCCGCAGGATACCCTCACTCCTAAGCCTGACTTCCACCCTCTTCCAGTCCCAAAGGATCTTCGCACCCTAGTCAATCGCTACACTCTCAGCAAAGGGTTCCTCTACTACAAGGCCACTCCTTCAACCTCCTGTCGACTCGACCTACATCTCGTCGACTCAGGCTCACTTTCCTTTCCTTTTCTCTTCCCCGCTATCCTTCCTTCTTCTTCTTTATCATTCTTTCGCTATTTTCCTATTTTCCGATCTGTCGCCTATAAAATCCCCCTCTGTCCTTTGTCTGAAATCATCAAATAAACAGATCACTTATCTACTCTCAGCTTTATTGAGCAACTCTCATCTTGGCACTTAAGACTTATGTTCATATACTCCAGTTCCTTACACGAATTCATACAAGTCGCTTTGGCGGAGTGGTTAACGCGGTGCCCTGCTAAGGCATTTCCTTCGGGAGCGCAGGTTCGAATCCTGCAGGCGACGATTTCTTTTTCTTTCTCTATTGACTAAATTTTTACCGATCTCCACTCCTCACAACTTTCACAATCACTTCTTTCCAGCTCGGTGGGCGTGCGTCTCTGCCGGGCATCATACTACCTCTACTGCTTTCCCTTGACCAGCGACATGCTCACGCTGACTTTGTCCATAACAACCTCCACTGTGACTCTGGGAACACATGTCCGCAACCTGACCTAGACTTTTAACGGCCGCTTCATCCTTCCCCTTGCAGGCCAGTCGCCTTTTGCCTTTTTCAAGAGAGCCCACCACCGTGGTTATACCCCCCCTTACCTTGTCTGTCACGCTTGCAGCCTCTCTAATATGAGGAAGCCATCAAAGGTTAATAAGTGAGCTCAGAGATAAGTTAAGTGACTAGCAATGTTTCCTCTTGAATTCTGAAAGTCCAGCTTTACAGAGCAAAAAGAGGGGTATCGATGATTCAAGAGCTTTATGCCAAACACGTCCTTGAAACCTGCAATTATGTGGGATTTCATCGCAACCAGATCCACCACGCCAATGTCCTGCACTTGGGCATCATGACTCTGCGTCTTAGAAACTGATTCTGTCCGGACTTTGAAGTTCAGATCAACTCTTTTCAAAGATTTCAATCCCCAAGTTGAACTCCATGCCGTCTGAATAAATTACATGGCGATATGCTTTACATCCCTACATTGCTCCAGTCTTCTGAAGCTACCCGTCTCCTCCTCTTTTCCCGCCCTCGCTCATCTCCACAAACAACTTCCTTTGGACCTTCAACTCCCCCCCACGCTCAAAATCTTTCATCACCGCCTCCGTTAAGTTGCTCCAACAGACCGCCTGCCGGAACACTTGCTAAGATTTGGCTTGATGAACCACATGGGAGAGCAAAGGGATGTCACCCAATGCACCTGATCTGGATGCGGACACGCCCTGACATAACCCACCGCAGTCTCTGTCTCAAAAAAACGCGTCCTTTCCACCACAGTGTCCACCTCAAAAACACGCCGCTTCCCCACCTCCATCACAGTCTTCGTCGCCTCCACCATAGTTGTGTCTGTCCGCCACTGTGGACCGTCTTGTTGTAAATATGACGACGCGCAGGGCCGCGCATGCCCAGGACCCAAGACGGGTGGTGGTGGGTAACATGACCCACGTGCCACCCTACGCGGTGTGGATGAGGCTGAGGACAGGGTATCGGAAAGGTTATCTGAGAAGGTACATCATGGGTATCTGCAGAGATGCCATGGAGTACATATACCCAGCCTCCAAGGCGCCGTAACCAATGCAACCACTCACACTCGCACCAATAGGATGGCGCCTCAAGAGCTAAAGTGACGGTGTGCTCACCTGAGCAGCCCGTAGCAATAGGACTACTATAAGTGGCCAGGGTCTGTCCTGTGCCTACTAACTAACCAATTCGACTCACTAGAGTCACCAAGTTGGTGACATCCCCCCCTCTTTCTCTTTGTTCATATTAAACCTCCTTCGTTGAACCTCCCGACTGATGACCCCTAAGGACCTGCATCGTTCATCACAACGTCTCAAACACGCTCCCTCCACCACAATCTCCGTCTCCACAAAGTACCCCGCCCCCTTTTTGGGCCAAAACACCCCCCAAAAAAAGCAAAAAGAAGGGCCCAACCGGG